CAAGCTATTCTGAGACTGGTGTCAGTGATAACTGCGTAAGTGGACCAACGCGAAAAGCAATGGATTGCAAAAATGAAAGTTAATTTTTGTTAATATTTTAAAATGAAGTACTGTTCCAAAATTATGGCGATGTAACATACATGTACTGAAGAAAATTTTAGAGGAGTGTAATTAGGTAAAATTAAAAATAATAGCTTGAGTGTGAAAGATCACCTTTTATTATGAAAAGATTTCTTATTTACACTCATGTCCATAAATTAAGGATAATGCAAAATCAGGCAAAGGAAGAGTTAGAAGCAAAACAAATTTGACTTATTTGTAAAGCTTATTTATTAAACAAGAGGTAAAGAGCAAAAACAGATGCTATATGTTTGATATTATTAAAAAAATTAGCGATTTTTTTCTCCCTGGAGCAAATTACCAAAAAAAAAAAAAAAAAAAAAAAAACCAATATTACATGGTTGGTTGATTGTTAATACATTGTATGTCTCCCAGACGATGCAATACAGTCCGTACAACGCCTAGGCATGCTGAGTATCAAATTATCGATCTGATCTTGGGGGATATTACATCACTCAAAAAGCAATGCACTCCGAAGTTCCGGTAGACATGTAGAAGGAGGTTGACGGGCTGCAACTCGTCGGCCAAGCATGTCCCACACGTGTTCTACTGGTTCAAGTCTGGTGAGAATGCTGGCCAGTCCATGTACGGGTGATATCCCTCGATTGAAGGCATTCGCTTACGATATTTGCACGGTGAGGACTGGCGTTGTCATCCATAAAACAAATTGTGTGCCCATGGGCCCCGAAACAAATGTACATGTTGTTCCAGAATGACGTCCCGATAGATAGATTTGGCTTGTCATGATTCCAATTTGAACATGAAGGTCAGTTCTGGAACCCAGAATAATTCCACCCCAAACGAGCACTCCTACACCACCGTAACGGTGTCGTTCAATGATGCTTTTTTTCTTGGTGGTAACGAATACCTGGAGCTCTCCATATGAAAGTCCGGCGAGAATCAGACTGCAAGCTAAACCTGGACTCGTCGGAAAACATCACACAAGCCCACTGTTGCGGTGTCCACAGTGCATGCTCTCTACTCCAGGCTAACCGCAGGCGACAGTGAGTTGCAGTAAGTGGAACGCATCTGACAGGTCTACGAAGCATATATAACCAATCTGCCCTAAGCGTCTGTACACGGTCTGCCTTGAAATTGTCGTACCAGTGGCTGAAGAGAGCTGACGAGGACAGGTCTCAGGCTGTGCTCCGCCTGTTTGTTTTGGCAGTAACTGCCAAATACCGGTCCTTCATTCGGCGCTGTAACTCTGGGGCGACCTGTGCTGTAACGTCTACTCACATTACCATCATCTTGGAATCGTTGCCAAAGCCTGGAGATGACACTCTGAGCAATTCCAAGTTTGTCTGATACTTCCAGTTGGGTACGCCCACATTCCAGACGGCCGATAATTCTACCACGTAAAAAATCATCCAAATGCGTCCTTTGTGTCATAACTATTCGGTTATTGCACTGAAATGCTTATAAAGCGCCTGCGAACAATTTTACTTCTTTGCCTGTATTCCTTATATATCACTCTCTTACACTCTCGTCATTGTGACGTACCATCGGTGTCATCTAGTTACTTACTGAAATTTGCATATGATTCTTGAAGATGTGTGTAGTGATTTTACAGGTAATATATTTATTTTAGAGTTCGATTTCCGCGTGACTCCGAATTATCCTTAATTTATGGACATGAGTGTACTTTAAACTGCAATGCATGTTGAAGTATTAATTTCAGAAAGATATTAAATTTAAGAGTATCTGAATTGTGATATATGGTTAAATGTAGAAAGATGGCAAGTTAATTGCTTGAAATTGTAGAATATGCTGTGTAAAGATAAAAACAGCTGTAGTAGTTCAACTTTCGGTGAAGGTGAAAGTGAATATGAGTAAAATAAGCTAAATCTACGGTGAGTACATTTATGTAAAACAGGAAATGTAGCCATTAGGGAAGATTTTGTGGTATTAAGGCGTTGTCAAGAAGCTATGAGTAGTACTAACATGATACGCGAAACTGAGTAGGGCAGCAGTATGTGGAAAAGACAGCAGCAGATACACTATATCATTTTCAGAACAAACTTGAAGGCCGCAGATAAAGGATTTTAAGTAGTATGGATAAGAATAAAAGGGTTGTAGTAAAATGAAGGTTTTGTATCAAAATAAATGTGTTATAGTAAAAAGGAATGCATTATAGTGTGCTCAAGTTCTATATAGATACTTCCAGGTGCAGTCGGAAAAATGGATTATGCTACGTTTTAGTTAAATAAATAAAAGAAATTTTAGGAATAAAATTAATATAAAAAGACTACACAAAAATATTCGAATTTAGGGTTTTAAAGCTTTTCATAAAATCCGTTTGAGGACTCTTTCAAAGCTCTTCTTCTGCAAGGAGCGAATGTGGCATTTATGTTTTATTAACGAAAAGCTAATTTAATTATTTCCTTTGTGCCTCTCTTAGCCATGAGGTTGGCTCCTTCCAGAATTTATACAGGTTTTGAGTGGCAAGCAATTATACTACAAAGTGTAGAATTTTACGAACAGGAGTGTGAGAATTTTAGCCTGCTTCCTTTGCCCTGCAGATAAAAGAAAAAACTACTCTTGCTCGGATTACTTTAGGCTGAAGTTTGATCCTGTTTGATAAATGTGTGTATTTTCGAAATTCTGCCGTTCTCTACGTAGTCTTATAGTCTCTGCATATGTTAGATTTAAATTTTGAATTTATATCCTTCGTAAAAGGAAGCTTAGGGCTGAAACCAGGTCTAAATTGGCTGGTAATTTTAGGTTGTATATTCTAATTTAATCACTCAAGTGGTGAGTTAGAATAAACTTAAGTGTTTTAATTCTATAGCTGTATGTTTGATAGCTGGCTATTCTGGTGGAGATCATTCCCGCTCAAAACAAACGTACCACTCTGGTTTTTATAGTAACCGACATCACAAAGTTCGTTTCAATCCATAACAGACGTTACAACGTAAATAAAAATACTAAGAGTACGGTCTCCAGTTAAGTTACGTAAGTTCATTTGAATATGGCAAAGCACATGAGGGCTATATGCCTAGGTGTAGGTATGCCTTCGTAGAAGACTTTCTAAGGAAAACTGGCTCGTATTCACTTTACACATGGGACAAACTACGAAAACTAGAGATGTAGAAGACCCATTCGCCTGCATTAGGTTATTTGACTACGGTAAACAACACAAGCGCCATCTGCCAAACAGGAAAGATGATTTCATGGAGGACTTTGTAAAAGTAACTGTCTTATATTCACGTTACACATGGGGAAATCCACCTATGCAGTCAGCTCGTTCGCCTGAGATCTAGCCAGAGTCGAATGTTGTGAATTTACCCAGATTTGATCCCGGGGGTGTCGGCTACACCGCTTGGTTCTTCCTCTATACGAACCAGTTTCTCTTAGAAAGTTCTCCACGAAGGTAGTTGCCCTAGAATGCCACTAATGAGAACAGGAAGCTTGCGAAATTTAGCGAGAATATCTATGTAATGGGGGGGAGAGAAGTCGGATATTGTGATCGCTGACAGCTGTGGTTCACTTTTGATATTTTTAAGCCAATTACGGCGAAAAGATCAATTAGGAAAAACGCAAATCTGAAAAACGACCTGTAACATAAAACGTACGAGTTTCCGAAAAAAATCCATTTCATCTTTTCCCTCGTATTTAGCGGACGTGCAAATGTACATACGTGCATTTCGTGTGGGAATATATTGCTTACCTTGTTTCAGTAACTGAGTTTCACATTTGGCCATACGCTGTTTATCACTTACCGCACATTTTAAAACTTCAAAAGACTTTTCTCCTTCTTTGTGAACTACGGATAACTGAAACTGTGGATGCTGAATCCGCGAATATGACTGTAGTAGTTTATTTACAAATATAAAGGAAAGAAAGAGCACTCTTCCTAACATCACTCTTCACGTTTAATTTTTAATTGCATAAGAGCTATTCCAAGTATTTAAAATACTAACTACTCCTCCATCTTTCGGACTACCCTTCAAAAATAACCCATTAATATTTTTAACCAATGCGCTCAAACCTGAGCACCCGACTCCACCTTCGGTCTCAAGTAGCTGACTAAGGATTTATAAATCATGCATAGCAATCACCGTGAGGAAACTCTTCAGCTGACAAAAGACGTTTCAATATTTTTTCTTATTATTCGGGGATATAAAAACGTATCTTTCTACCATATTTCACATTTTAAAATTTCCCTTTAATTGGCAATTTAACGAAAGCTTCCGAAAAACTGAATGATCTAGAATTATTTCTTTGAAATTAGGCGATAAAGTCTAAACTTTAATTCAGTTAGCTATCGAAAAAAAAAATGTAGTTTTAGCATATTAAACGTACAGTATCTAACATATTTATCAGCAAAAATTAATATATTATGCCTTGAAAGGAAACTATATTAATTGTTCATTAACAGTTGCAAAATACCTTGCAGAATACCTTATCAGTCTTTTTTTTTTTTTTTTTTTTTTTTTTTTTTTTTTTTTTAGGTTCGAGTGTTTGCTGTATTTCCCATTTTGCAGCTTACTTAACACCTTAGTGAGTTCTCTGGAATTAAACTGAATTCTGTTCAATTCTACATGCCTTTCACAACCCTCTTACGAACAAAACGATTTTACAGAATTTAAATATGATTGTCTCACTTTATTTCACAGCAAAAATATTTTGCATATATTTGCTAAAATTCTACACAGGCAAACACAGAAGAGATTTCACACTTTATTATGAGTTTCTTACAATAATGATCCTTTATTAGTTACACTAAATTTTTTATAGTTAGCCTCAGATCTTTTTGAGTGCAACAGTTCATCTGCACAAGAAACGACAACAAACTCAAAAAACATTGCTTCTTTCTTGAAGGGGAAATAATAAAAAAAATAAATAAATAAATAAATAAAAAAAAAAAGCAGCATTACCTTACTTCCTTCAACGCTGATGATCCTATAAAGATTACGGGTCGAATCGAAGAAAAAACTAACGTTGACTGCCTGAGAGCTGGCAGGAACCCATGACCTTTTAGTCTTTGGATCGATGTGGAAGACATGCGCTTTTGTTGTAAAGATGGGTTGCTCCCTGAAATAATAAACAAAATGATATCAATAATGACCTTAAAGAATGACCTTATCAGTTTAGCCAACAACACAAAAACAACAGCACTCTACTACTCTTAAAGCAGTGGTTCTCGACGTTTTTTTACCCCATGCAAGCACTCATCATTGTTAAAAATTCATTTCTCCCTTTCCTTTCCATAATTTGAAAAGTACATAGGCATTTATTTAGATTTAGATTGTATTTTAACATATTTTATAAATTAAACAGAAAAAAGTATAGAAAAAGTTGATAAATACCAAAATCTGAATAACAGTAGTTTTTCATATTCGTAAACTAAAACTAAATACTAAACAGGTAAATAAAAGGCTGACATCATCCCACTCTGAAACTATGAAGTTGTTCCCCAGAGAAGACCTCCCCCAGTTGAGGACCCCTGCTCTAAAACATTGCTGTTGCGGTTTCTTCCTAAAATTCCATGAAAACTGTACAGATACGAATACTCTGGTCCACCAGCGCATGAGCGGTAAAAGCAGTTGAACACTGGTAGTTCGTTTCGGACTTCGATTCCCGGCGAATACGCTGGCTGCATGGGCGTTTTCAAGGTTTTCCTTGTATATGACCAGTATATAAACCTGTTTCCCTTAAAAAGACAATCCACAGGCATCCCTCCCTTACCGTGTAGTGCCTAATTAGGATGCAATAAATAATAATAACTGTAATAATACAAATATGCTTAGAATGCAGTATCGGTCCTTATTAATGCACGTACATTACCAATCAAGTAAAAAACCATAAAACCTTACACACAACACAGAAAATCGTCCCAGAATTGAAGAATTCTACGTATTTCAACCTTGAAATACGAAAACCCGGAAGATTCTCGAGCGAAAACTGGCCGTTTCCGGGAGACTTTAATGCCGCAAGGCGAAATCATTAAAAAAAAAAAAAAAAAAAAAAAAAAAAGATTTGCATTTACTTAACCATGCATAACTCTGGTAACCGCACTATTCATAATTAAATATGCATTCTAAATTTCATGTTCTTTGGCTAATACCCTTGCATAATTTTCTTATTCTTTTCACGGAGAAAATCCTGAGTAGTGAAGAAAAGCTTTTTTGATCAAGGTACTTTTAAATACAACAAAATTTTAATTAATGTACATACAACTGTGTATATAAAATTAGCAGTGTACAATATACTGATGTAAAACAAAATTAAATACAATTATTAACCGATTAAATAATGGTTGAATCTCCTTTAAAAGTTCTACATATATGTAGAACTTGCATATATGTGCATATACTACATGTAGAACTACATATATGTAGAATAGCATATCAAGACAATTCAGATCACTTAAAATTTACTATGAAAAATTATACTGAAATTACTAGCGGTGCGGGAATTCAATTTGCACAATTTAAGTTTCATTAAGTTAATTTAATAAACTTCAATTGTTGCTGAAAAAAAATTTCCTTAGCAAAAGACGAAAAAATGAAAAGCGGCAGATTCGGTACTCTACTAGAAGACCGGAAGATGTGATTTAAATCCAGAGTTTGCTGATAAAATTAACAGAGTTAGAAGTTTTGATAAATATACACACTCTCATCACACTCTGAGGCTGACTCTCTTGTTAGGATTTGGTACAGCGAAATTTCCTCATAATAATTATTACACGCTTATACTCATTAACAGTAAAAATCATCACGACCTTTCCTTCATTACTGCCGTGATATCGTAATTTCCATTTCATAGCAAACACGCTTTTAAATATTTTAAACAGAAACAATTTTAAATTGACAGAACAAGCATGAAAAATATGCAAAAAGAGCCCAATGCAACAAGTGTCTAACTAGCTGGGTAACCTGTATATGCGGAGTTCCAGAGCTATATCCACTTTAGAAAGGATATCTTCCCGGCTTCCTAAAGGGCAATAACTAGTAGACACGAGGAGAAAAAAAAAATTTTTTTTGATGGAATTTCTAACGGAAACTCGCACGCATGCATGGTAACACATAAGGTAAACCCCACGGTGCCTTCCCATTCTATCAAAAGAATGGGAACCGGAATATGCTGCCAAAGTTTGTTATTTTCTCCCTTCTTAACGCCTGCTTTCATAGTGTAATTGGAAGTACGTCGTGCTAGCAATCAGGTGGTCTGGAAATAGGAGAACTGATTTCTCAAGTTTCTTGGCTTCACAAAAATTCTAACTGATTCTACATTTTTATTTTAAAAAAGCTCAATTGCTTACAAAACATATTTAAAGCAAATTAGTAGCTTTCAGACAGAGAGAAGATCTGCCTTCAGATATATAATTTTTAAGTTACGAATTTCAAATAATTCACTGTATCGTTACCCAGAAACTCAAACGTAGTTTATAGTCTTAACAAAAGGTATAGGATTGTCCCACTGAATTCACTACAGCAAAGCTGAATGTTATCAGTTACTTTAAACTCTTAGCAGACATATATAATGTCAACTTTTTTAAAATTTTAATTTAAAAAAACTTTTTAAGGCTTCAACTTCACTTAATGGCTTTATTTGTCTCCTTAAATTGTTACAGATGTAAATGAGGAAAAAAAAAACTTAAGCAATTTTTAGCCCTTAATTCATTAGGTTTCATGTGCGTGCTTTTCTGAAATGCCTGGTTTTTCTTATTGCATATTTGCTTATATCTGAAAGTGCGAATAATTAAAATAAGGCATCTGGACTTAAAATTATTATCCTTTTCTATATCAATAACAAGAAAGTAAATTAGCACTAGCGTCACCTGCTATGATTGAAATTGCTCAACAAGGAAAAAAGAAACACAGAACTGTTCAAATATCAACTGAATCCAATTATAAAGCAAGTATGTAATGATACGCCACGTCAGTCGTCTGGATTTGCAATAGTGGACTCCATTAGTTTCAATACGGATAAGCAACAAAACATTTAAGCGCAGGAGGATAAGTATCTTTAATTACAATGACTTAAGCATAAAATCCAAGAATGAATTTTACACAAATACGAAGAAAGGTCCTGTTACACAGAGGAGGGGGGGGGAAGAAGGACGAAAGGAAATAATATGCACGATTATTTTTTCATTTTTAATTGCTTTATACGTTTCTCTAATACACTGAACTACAACAGCGTCGAAATTAGTTAAAGTAGGTTAGGCTATTAAACTGTGATACAGTGAGACGTCTTCACCATTACCATTCATGAATTAGGACGATGACTTCATATTTAACCTGGCATGTGTAATAGATTAAAAGGTCGCAAAAAGATATAATTCAGTCCTTAGCCTACAATTTATTTGTTTAAAAGATTTTACAGTGTCAACCAGCGAGAGATACGACACCACAAATTAAAGTTCACGCATAAGAAATACATAGAATTAACTAAGCATGTGCATAAATAAACACAATTTTATATATAACATACGCTTTTATTTAACTCATAAAATAACTAAAACGAAAAAAAAATTATTTGTCATATAATTTTGCGTGAAGATGTTGAAGAAATCTCTTTAGAAAATTCATCTAAGAGTGCCCCATGCTTTGATTATTCATGATATAAAATTGCAGATGAATTTTTAAAAAAGAAAATTATTTAATTTCTCGTTCCCATGAAACTGCATGATAAAATTATTTTTCTTCTATAGTTCATTAATTATTTTTCATGAGTTTTAAATAAAAGCTGATTTTATAAAAAGCTTTTATAATTTTTTTAGGTTAAATAATACAATGCCAATCAAATTATTCAACTGAAGAATCGTTTTTCAACAATCACTGTTTTACTTCCAACAAATCTCTTACATCAAACAGTGGAAAAAAAGGTCGAGCGGTCTTCAAAAATTCGCCAAAAAATCAGAAATTATGTTAAAACTTTTCTATTAGTTTCATATATAAGATATTTTTTCGCTGTATGCAATTATGCAAATCGCTAAACTGAGATTTTTACATTGTACGCTTAATGAAGAAATGTGCTAAAAATCTTTTCAATATTAAATTAAAAAATAATCGAAGATTGAAAAAATCTCTTCATCATATTGCGTTATAATCCATAAATAGTTGTGTGTACAAAATTTGAACTCGATAGCTTATTAGGAAGCCGTTTAAAGATGGACGAAAAGCTTTTGACTAGAGAGACAAACACCATTAGTGACTTAAATAAAAGCTTAGAGTAAAAACGCAGAGTAAAGAATTTGTTTTATAAGCTTTCCAAATCTTTCAAATCAAACAGATACGTTTTGGGGTACTAGAATTTTTCATAAAACAATATTATTACTTACCACAATGAAATTACGAAAATAAGCTTTTGAAATGAAATCCTGAGAAAAATGCACGTAAACTTGGGAAATGGAAAAAAAAAAAAAAAAAAAAAAAAAATTAAAATGACGTTGTAGACTGCAAGTAATTTTAAACGTTAATCCATCCTTAAACTCCGTCACTTTTTAGATTAGTAAAATGAAACGAATTACAATTGCAAAATCTATGTATTAAGGCAGGAAGAAATAGCATTTATAAAATGGCAGAAGACTTCTACAGCAACCTTAATTTCTTCGCCAGTAATTCTTTTTAGCAAGGGGGAGTGGGTTTAATAAATAAAATCAATTTTAGGAAAAGCTATATCGGAGCAAGAAAAATAGTACTACGTAATATTATCATAACCTTAAAACAGTTTCCACGTGACGCCCAAAGTAGAACGGCAATAAAAAAAAAGGCTTCTACTTATTACAGTAAAATACTTAAAAAAAAGTGCATAAAATTGCCCAATTGATATTTTTTATCATTCCTCCTGTTTTAAAACTAGAGTTTGTTTAATAAACTGTGGAAATATCAAAAGTTTATAACAGATACATTTTTAGATGTTAGAATTTTAGAATAATGGACGTTAAATAGTCGAAAAAATCGAACGGTTTTCAAAAATTCACCGAAAAGTTGCAAATTACGTTAAACATGTCATATTAACTTTATCTTAAAGATACTTTTTCTGCCCTATCTAATGGTACAAACAGCAAATTCTGACATTTTTAG